CATATTCTATCAACTAATAGAGCTATTTTTTTAAAAGGTAGGACAGAAAGTGACTTCTATACTTTTAAAATTTGCCCGAAATTTAGAAAAAATTTAGAAATTTTTGTACACTGCCTGCGACTGATAATTGGTTGGGTTTGAAAAAAAATCTTTTTTTGCAAAAAAATTTTTTTATTTCGATTAAAGAGGAAAAAGTAAAAATTTATATTCACAATTCAAAAATTTGAATTGATAGTTAATTAACTCAAAACAAAATTTCTTTATAAAACAAAGCTTTTTGAATCGCTCTTTGGTTTGAAAAATAGAGAGCGACACTCATTATGGCTTTTATTTCTTTATTTTACTTTAGATAAAAAAGACTGTTGTTGAAATCATATCGAATAAAAAATAAAAAAAATAAATAATCAAAATGGTTAGAATTTCAGTTTTGGTATGTATATATATAATAAATATCCATTTTCTACACAGACATGTTGATGGTAATGGTAGTAATGATGATGAATGGGTTTTTAAAATAAAATTAATTAATTTTTTAATAATAGAATGATTGTCTTAATAACATTGTTAATGCTGAAAAACGTGGCAAACGTCAAGTATTAGTTCGTCCATCATCAAAAGTGGTCATTAAGTTCTTGCGTGTAATGCAAAAACATGGTAATTAAATCAATTATCATATATAACGTGTTTGATGATGTATATACTAATTACCATTATACCACCGCTAACAAATATATATATATATATATATATACTTACGCTTATAATTCTGCATACATATGTGTATATAAAACACACGCGCATACATACCTCTTTCTCTCTTTAATTATATATATATTAAAGAATATATTGACGAATTTGAAGTGATTGATGATCATCGTTCAGGAAAAATTGTAATTCAATTAAATGGTCGCTTAAACAAATGTGGTGTCATTTCACCACGTTTCAATACAAAAATAGATGATATTGAAAAATGGGTTAATAATTTATTACCATCTCGTCAATTTGGTTTTTTAGGCAAGTATAAATATAATAATAATAAAAATGATTGAAAAGTTTTTTTGGTGTGTTTTCATATATTTTGTTGACAATATTTACTTTTTTTTTTTGGTACATAGTGCTGACTACTAGTGCTGGTATTATGGATCACCATGAGGCAAGAAGAAAACACACTGGTGGTAAAATTCTTGGTAAATATACTTTTTTTTCTTTTCTTCCTTTTTTCTTTGATTTTTTACTAATATATCTTATAATTATTATGGATTTTATTTATAGGATTTTTTTATTAAAATAAAATAATAATAAACATGTCATTACATTTGTTTAAATTAAATTAATATTATTATTCATCAATTACAAAAAAATAAAAGTAATTATTATTATTATTAAAATTATTTAAGGTGAAAAATTTTACAGTTTGTTTTCTACAATTAACTATTAGTAAATGCTATGTAAATCAAACTATTGCTATAATAATTATGAACTTTCTTTTCATCCCCAATTCAAGTTTATTACTCTTTTGTATAACGAACAAAGACAGAAAATACATGTAGAATGGAAGGTTCTCTATGGATGTATTGGTTTTTCTTGAAATCAATCAGTAATCATTAATGAATGATTCAATTCCTCTAGCTAGTTGGTGGGCCTATAATTCATCTATCACCTTGAGTCTTTATCAATAGCCATAATCTTTTCTCTTGAAGGCCTACTACTATGTATGATTCATTAAACACTACAGACATAAATATCATAACAACAAATCTTTATCTTTTTTATTGTATTATTTTAAAATATGCAAAAGATAAAAAAATATAATTAATAATTAAAATAATAGGGCAAAAGAAGTATTGGGAATGCAGTTTTTCAAAACAATTAACTATACATAGAAATTATAGTAGATAGGTCAACTAAAATATGGTCATGGTTTTAAAAGTTTCTAGATGTTTTGGAACCACTACTTTTTACTTAATATAAACTTTATAAATTTTTATTATTATTAAAAATTAGAAAAATTTTATATGCTTTAACAAATATAATTTTATGTGGCCATTTCAAGAAATAAACAATTAACATAGTGGGAAATTTGAAATGTTACACCAATTTTCATATTACGTGAGTGACCAAACACAATAGCCAAAAAAATTAATCTAACTTTATCCAAAACTCAAGACATTTTGTTTTGTCGCATTGAAAAAGTTAATTGAGATAACTTGCTAAATGCAGTTAGTAAAATACTTTCTCCCGTGGAAATAAAAGTAGTAGTTGAAGGAAAAAAAAGATACTTCACACAACATAACTTTACAATACACGGCAAACATTCTGGCAATAAAAAGTAAGTGATAAACTGGATTTGAATCGGATCTGAACTTGATCTCCAATTTAGAGAGGTAACAACTATGTGCCAAAGTTTCAGGAGCAATGGGTAACTGTATAACGTTTCGTGTAACAACAAACTTCCACTATGCTTAAAACAATTATAGAAAAGTTTTTAAAATGTCTATTATCACCCTTTACTAATCCAGAAAACATAGTACAATGAATCTTTATCAATGAAAGACCGTTGTACATATTAATATGTATTGTATTGTGGTATTGTGAGTGATTTCAACGCAAGCATGCCCCAGTGCACAAAATTCTGGTCGGAATTTTCAGATGCCATTTTTCATAATAAACAATTAAAACTGGCAGTTCATTCCCTGTAGAGGATATTTCCATAGTGAACACTAAGTAAGTCACACTATAATAAGCTTTTCAATTCATTTTTTATAATTAATTTCTTTTTATAAACAAACATCTTGACAAAATCTCTCTGCAATGAACAGAGGCACTAATAAAGCATAGAATGGAATGTTCGCTAAAGGAAAATGAAGATTGTGAAAGGGGCCTTCTTGCCAAAATATAAGATGAAGAACTTATTAATTAAATAGAAGAAACATTTAAGTTAATGCGAGTACTTTACCAAAGCAAATTTTAATAGTGTTACATATATTGAATTGGACAAATAAATAATTAGTATTGCAATAATTAAATTTTCTATAATAAGAATAATTTTTAATATTTAATTGCCGGAAAAATGAAAAAATTTGTTTTGTGCCCATATATAAAATAATAAACGTGTAACTGTTACATCATTGGCTAAACCCATTTTTAGCTAGTTAAGGAAGCCACTAAATTCATTGGAAAATTTTTTTTTTATAATTTTTAAAAAAAAAAATTTAAAAAAATTTAGTATTATTTATTACCTTTGAATATCACACACACACACACACACACTCACGTTTATTTCTTTTGTGAGATTCTCAAATACACTTGTTTCATTTAATCTAATGTTTCCAAGCTGAAGTTCATAAAACAAAAAACCAAGTCAATGAGTTTCACTAAAACTAAAAAATCAAAATCAGGAGGCTACCCCTGGTCAAAAAGACAGATTTCTATAACAAATCCTTTCCCTCGTTATGGTCATTCAGCTACCGATGTAACTTATGATAACGATTTATTTCTTTTTGGTGGCTCCAGTAAACAAAGACTTAAAAATGACGTTTTTGTAATAGAAGTTAGTAAGTAAATTATACACATATAACACATATTTATAATTATAATTATAATTAATTAATTAAATTTTTTAAAAAGATTCTCTCAATGTTCTCGCTTTCACTACATCGGGCGAAATTCCTTCTCCAAGAATTGGTCATGTACATGTAAACTTTAGAAATTATATGATCGGTAAATATTTTAATGCCTTTTCTTAAATGAATTTTCATCAAAGTTTAATAATTACTCCTTTAAATTATTAAATTAGTTTTTGGTGGATTAACTGAGAATCAAGATAAACTTGATGATAGTTTATATGTTCTTGATACAAGTAAGGTTTTATTAATAATATGAATAAATACGAATAAACCGATGACTATATAATAAATGATTATATTTTATCAATAATAATAATAATAACAATAAAATCAATTTCAGTAAATAAAAATTGGAGAAGAGTATCAATAATGGGCCAACCTCCGTATGGAAGATACGGCCACACTGTAACTGTAGTTGGTAGTAAAATGTATGTATTCGGTGGAAGTTATGAGGGCTATTATTTAAACGATTTAGTAGCACTCGATCTAGCATCAAGTAAGTTTTTTAATTTTGAAATTTTAATTTCACATCATTTGTTATTTTTTTTTAAAATAAATTTCATTCAAACTTAGTTAACTCACCTGGACCTTCATGGGAATTCATAAATTTTTCAAATCAACCTCCATCAGGAAGAACTGGTCATATATCTTGTTCATACAATAATAAAATTTATATGTATGCATGCTATAATAATTAATTAATTAGTTTTTTTAAAAAAATTAATATATTATACATAAGTTTTTATTATGAAAATATTTTTATTTATTATATTTTGTTTTTTAATAAGTTTTGGCGGAATGGATGGTTCGAAATGCTATAATGATACATGGTGCTTTGATCTACAAACTAATCAATGGGCCGAATTAGCCTACAATGGTTATGTTCCATATCCAAGACATGGATGTGGATCTACTATCATTGAAGACACAATATATTTATTTGGTGGTAAAACATTTGAAAATCAAGAACTTGGCGACTTGGTGGCTTTTAAGATTGGCAGTTAGTATAACAAATTTTCTAAAAAAATATATTTTTAAGAAAATTTTAAATTAATTATATAATTATATAATTAATTAGTACAAAGATGGTTCATGTTTCAAAATATGGGTCCTGCTCCAAGTCCACGTTACAAGCCTACAATGACTGCTGCAAAAGATAAAATAATGGTTTTTGGAGGTGATTCTATGTCTTCACCAAAACCTGACGAGGAAGGGATAATACATATATTAGATACATGTAAAATTTATTTTTGATTTTTTTTCCAATCTTTTTTAGTTTAAAAAATTTTTTTTAAAAACAAAATGATTAATTATTTTATACATCTATATATAACTATTAGCAAAAATAAAATATCCTCCTTCACAAAATAGTATTTATCAACAACAACAACAACAACAACAACAATCACAGCTAACTAAACAAGGATCTTCAGATTTACCATCTCCTCCTTCCAGTACAGACATGAGTCGCCCATTCCCATCCCCGACAAGGTCAATAACTTCAGATACACAGAGCACGTCAGATCAACAACGTACAAGACATATCATCCCAACTGCAAGACATAGTTCAAAACCTAAAACTACTGATGATAAACCATTTGCAAATTATCCTCCTCTTTCTAAATCCAGTATTGACTCTCCACTTTCCGAATTTAGCCAAGATTCGCCTAAAGCACCAACGGAAATGACAAATTCATTTCCATCATCTACAACACAACGTATGATCACACAAAACACTACTTCCTCAAGAATGAATACCATGCCTGTCACCACTTATCAGAGTTCAACTCCACAGGCAAATAATTCATTTGTACCACCGGGTTTTGCAAAACGGCAAACAACCAACCCACCTGTACGTTCCAATTCACCAAGAACGTTGATAGAACTTGAAATGAATAGTATGCTACCACGAAATGTGCCCACAAATCAAATTACTTCCAGAGTCAATCATCAAGACAATCGAATTATCGATAGGGAACTTTCAGGATCACCACAACCACAACCACATCTACAGCAACAGCAACAACCACTCTTCATAGGTGGCGTAGGTGTTGATATTCGTCAAGGAGATTTTCAAAACCCAAGACAAGCCCCACGACCTCCCATAACAAATAATGTTTCAACGCAACCCTACAATCAATACACACATTCTCCAAGTCAATCAATCCGATCTATTCAAAAAGTGAATATGGTTCCTCAATCAATGTATGATTCACAACCTGAACCTTCTTCACAAGTTATTTATAATAACAATAATGGCCCTAACAATAACGGCTATAATAATAAAGGCAGTGTTTATCCTATTCCTCCATCATCAACATCATCAACATCATCAACATCAACGACAACAATGACGAAAGCCACCACCACAAACTATACTCCGACCGATGTTCGATCTGAAAATTATTACTTACCAAACTCAATTCCAAATGATGTCCGTACTGAAATCTTTAATGAATTAGAAAATCAGAATATATCATCATTTAAAAAGCGCGAGATGTGGTTAAGAGCTGAATTAGAACTTGCTAGAAAGGCAGGTTATTTAACGAAATCAGTTACAGATGATTCCACTCCTGATGGTATCGATGTTAATAAACTGTTGAATATTGGTGAACCAGAGTCTGATAGATATAAAATTATAGAAGCAATTACTAAAATAAAACAAGAATTAAAAAAGTCAAAGGTAAATCATATAAATATTTATTACTTCAATTTTTTTTTGAAATAATAATAATAACAATTTTAATTAGGCAACGATTGCAAGTCAAGCTCAAATTGCTTCACAAAAAATTGTAGATTCAGAACGTACAAGAACAGCAGCACTTCAGGAAGCAGCATATTTTAAGGCAAAACTTTCGGCCTTAATGAATACGTCAGAAAATGAATTGGCATCAGTTGAAACAGAGAGAGCGGCAGATCTTGAAAAACGATTAACACAAGCTTTAATCGAAAAAGAAACTCTTCAAAGCAAACTTTTTCAATATCAGCAAGCTTCAAACAACGACAAAACATTTAGGGAATCAGCAGAGGAAAGTGCTAGGTTGGCAACCGCGAGAGCTGAAGAGGCGGAAGAAGCACATGCTCGTGTTTTATCCGAGTTAACTGATTTTCAGACACGTGCCACCACTGCAGAAACAGAACTACGAGAAATGAAAGCCCAATACACAGGAGTTAGTTCCGAGTTAGCACAATATAGATCTGGATCGGAGAACATACATAATGAGTTGACATATTATAAACAATTAATGGAACAACAAAAACGTGCTTTTGAGTCTGTCAATCACGCGCTTATCTCAGCAAATGAAAAAGCAAATGAATCAGAAAATTTATGGAGACAAGCGCGTCAAGATAACCTATCACTTGAAAAGGAAACATCAAAATTACGTAATAAGCTTGAAGCCAAAAACCGTGAATTAAACAGAGCAAATTCCAAAATCGATGAGACTGAGCGATTATTGAGTAGAGCACAAAAGGAAGCAGAGGCTTTCCGTGCAACAGTACAAGAAGGAATGAAAGGATTGTTTGAGAAATCAAAAACAAATGAAAATAATCTCAACAATTTAACTGAAGCAGACAAAACTAATCTTGAAAAAGAATTAATAGAATGGAAAACCATGCATGCCGAATCTCATAATTCTGCAACTGAAGCATCTAAATCATTATCAGAGGCCAAATTAAAAATTATACAATTGGAATCGTCTGCGATGAAAGCTAGACAGGAGGCAGTTATATTACAAGGGCAATTAACTGATTCTTTGGATGAAGCTAAAAAAATCAAAGAAAAATTACGCGAAAAAGAAATCCTTCTAGAAGAAAAAGTAAGAGCACTAGAAGATGCAGAAATTAAAATTGGAATGATGAGAGAAGATCCTAAGACTCAAGAATTTACGAATAATCAAATTATCGAATTAAGAGAACAAAATCAAAAAGAGAAGGAAGAATTTAATAGGAAATTTGAAGATATTGAGAAACAATTGAGTTCTTCACGCGAAGAAAAGATTATGGTGGATCAATCGTATGAAGCATTGAGGAAGGAATATGAATCAATAAGGCAAGATCATAAATTATTGAAATTAAACAATGAGAAACTTCAAGAACAATTGAAAAAAGAAGGAGAAAAGGTTAAAGAGGTACAAACCGAACTGGAAGAAACACTTTCATTATATGTATTAGTTAACAAAGATCTTGATGATGCATTAAAATTAGCAGGAAAGGCTTCAACAGCAGGTGCCAATGACGATGTAAGTGGCAAACAATTAGAGGATCTCAAAGCGGAAAGGGATAGATTGGAAAAGGAGGTTATAAAATATCGAGAAAATAATATGAAATTGGAAGTTTTGAACGTGGATCTGGTACAAAAGTTGCAAGATTCCGAGAATAAAGTATCACTTCTACTAGATCAAATGGAAAATGCAGTAGATACGTATCGCGGAATGGAAGATGATGAAATGAAAGATTCTAGCCAGAGAAATTCACAAAAATTAACAAGTGAACTCGATATGTTAACGTCACAATTTAATAGCAACATTCCCGATGATGACAATGTTAGTGATTATACTAATTCAAGATGGAGTACACATTCAGGCACGAGCATAAACGATAGAGCATCGTCAAGGCTAGAAGATTACGATGAAATTATGGCAAGGCTGGATGAAGTGAAAAAAGCAGCAGCTTTAAGAAATTTGAATCAGATGAAACAAATGAATCAAACATAAGGTGTCATTTTTTATTATTTACATAAACAACCAAAAATAATTTTTTTATAATTTTTTTAATAATATTTTTTAATACTTACATTTATTTTATTATTGTATTTTTAATTAATTGATTATTTTTCCATAAAACTAAAATTTATATTTAAATTTATTCGATTAGAAAAAATTAATAATCTTTTTAAGAAACTTTATTATTATTATCATTATAACATTCATTCATTCATTCATTCATTCATTCATTCATTCATTCATTCATTAATTAATTAATTAATTCACTTATTCAATTTTTTTTTAAACAAAATTTTTTAATAATAAATTATAATAATACCTGTAAATATAGGTAAAAAAATTAATAGTGGTTTCATAATAAACTAGAATATCATTTAAGACCTGGATTCTCAGAGGTGGATTATATTTTAAATGTGCAAAAGTATAATAGTAATATATATATGTTTCTTCCATATTAAAAATTTATAGATTTCATCCATCCATTCTTTATTAATAAACAATTTATATGAGAATTCAATAGAGTATTTACAACATGAACTAATAAATTTAACATTAAAACTTAAATTATAAATAAAATCTGCCATTTTGAATCTTAAAATCAAAAAATGATGCAAATACAAAGCATCTATGATGACTGTTCCAATTTCCTTTGCTTGGATATTATTAAAGATTTTTTAATTAATTCATATATTGTATACCAAAACCGCAGTACAATAATTAGACTTAAGAGATAGCAATCTGTTGAAGAATGAAAACTTTTCTGCGTACTTTCTTTCAAAATAAAATGCACATTCTTTTTTTTACAAATTAAAACTATTACTAATATTTCTTCTTTTATTGTTACATTTCATAAAATCAAAATGCATTTGATTTGTCTTTAATCAATTATGTTCTGGATGAAGACGAAATTATAGGTAAAGGTCCTAATGGTACACTCAGTATGATTTTTGATGGAATTAAGAAATTAAATAAAGGTGAAAAACATTTAAAGATTACTTGTGATAATGCTGGAGGCCAAAATAAAAACAGTGTAACTATTTGATTTTATTTATATTTGGTAATTTGTGGTTATTATGAAAGTGTTGAATTGAATTTCATGATTGCTAGACACACTAAATTTAAATGTGATGGTAGTTTTGGATTGATTAAAAAACTCTACAGAAGAACAAGAGTAGATTGTCTGGATCATGTGGTTGCAGTGGTAAAAAAGTCTAGTCCAGCAGGATTAAATAAAGCTCAATGTTATGAAGGT